ATTATTATATAGAAATCCATAAATCAACAACATGCACGAAAACATAAATACATCAGTGATTAATAAATTAGGATTGTAGGGAACACCACATCAGTACTATAATCATTCAATATTACCAGTCTATTAGTGAGGTGAATCATGAACATATAAGAGTCATATCAATATGTTTTGCATTAGTTGTGCTGACATTTGCCTACTATAGTCGTTTATAATTTATAAAACTATGAAATTATATATGCATGAACATGATTAAGAAATGTACGAATTAGTTATATGCTATCAATATTATATAATTCAACAAGACATGTCATCCAACTTTAATATGATGTTTTCAATATCTTTAACCCCAACTATTTCTCTGTTGATCATCAGTTATATACATCACACTTATGATTTATTCAGTAAATCAATTATCATTATAGTTGGCTTTCAATAATCTATAAAGAATTGTCACTCTCTATCCATTGGTATAATTTGATCAATCAGTTACATGCTACAACCAGGATTACACACTACAAACCTTTTAATTTAAGGAAAGTTTGTCAACCCACTCTCATACGCATGATATTATATTTTAAAAGTTAACCAATATAAATTATAGCATTAATAGCTAGTCTCCATTGCTTATATGCAAATACCACATTTATCTTTAATCAATGGTATTATTCTTTCCTTAATGTATGAAATATTGCAATATGAAACACGTGAATTTATAAAATACAGAAAAATGTATATACTAGTTGATAACTTCATAAAATCACAACTTTTATTTTACCTGGTGAATTTCAATAATATTACATTAAAAATATCCATATCAATTATATTTGTCATATACAAAATATTACATGGTAAAAGTGCTATAAATTAGGAGAAAATATATTTTTTATCCTTTTTAGGGGAAATTAAATATGTATATATGAAATCAATGAAAAAAAAGGTTTTAGGTTACTACAATCAGTATACTTTTCTCAACTGAAGCAACAAACAAAAATAATCAAAACCCAGCTTCTTCTCTCTTCCCTCTCACCTCTTTCTCTCCATTTCCCTCTCTTCATCGGACAAGCAACGAATGGGGAGGAGTTGATGGCTTAATGCTTATATATATATAATGTTTGTGGCCTAGCATCACGGCCATGTTCAAAATCTCGGAGCCACCGCACCGAATTATTTTTCAAATTTTCCTAAGACTAGGGTGTCGGAACGCCGAAATATCCAGTGCCACAGCGCTCTAGTTCATAAATTTTAGAATTTTCATTTTTTTTTATTTCAAAAATAATTTTTATAATTATGAGGTTATTACAGAGAGGGTGGAGGCATGATCTTTTGAGTCTGAGCAGTTGAGGTATTATTTCATAATCTAGTCTTTAATCCTTTTGATGTATAGCTGATTGAAAATTAGCTAAATTATTGTACGTATACATGCATTTTTTTGAAATGAAAAATATTCAATTATTTTATTATTTGAATTTTACAGTAACTTTATTTGTCTCTATTGATGGTTGAGTTATTAAATTACAGATATAGAGTTTCAATCCTTCCATTATATCATAGGGTATCACACTGGAGCACGTGAAGCTTATTATGTTGTTCATGAAATTTCAAGAAGAGGGAAGGCCCATTGTAGTAGAACTAGATAAGAGTCGTGCTGAAACTCGTGAGCCCGATTTAATTTTGAGATTTTGATAATTTCAAATATTAATGGATAAACCACTTAATATGTTATGCAATATATAGAGGTTGTTTTGTTATACTAACTTCTTAGGTATGACACTTGGACTAAAGCTGCATACAACATACAAGAAGTTTGATCTAGAAGAAAAAATGAACTCAAGAATTACATAAATGAGAGGTGTCAAATTTGTAATAGGAGTTTGTACTTTTCTTCTCTTGAGTCATTATATGTTTAGGTGTATGTCAGCAAGACAACTAAGTACACAATCACGAATGATGTTCAAAATTAATCACTTAATTCTCTGGTAATTCATAATGTACGATTAATTAGTATAGAAATTAAATTAAATACTTAATAATTATTTGTAAAAATTAAAAAACATAATAATTAATAGTATTATATGATCTTGATCATACATGATGATCATTTATTTTGATAAGACTCACCTGTGATTCTGGATTTCTAAAAAAAAAAATATTTGAATACTGAAATTGAACTAATCGTAGTGTACGGAGATTGATATGCATTGCATATATATTTTGGGTTGAGAATCAAGCAATCAAATCAACTTTGAATATCGTACAATATGATCTAAATCGTACAATATAAATAAACAAAACATTTGTTGGACGAACCATTATTTGATTAGGATGGCCCTTGAACTGATTGAACTAATCATATTGTACGATTCATATAGTGCAATCTAATCCAACATAACTCAAATTATGGGAATTTTCTCATATTAAACTAATTGGACAGTACGAACCACCATTCGTACTATACGATCATAGTATTAAAAATTAAATTTATGGTTTGCTTTAAATAGGTAATTTTTGTTCTATTGGCAAAGTGTGTGTAAAGGCAAGATATATATGAAAGATGTTTGCGACAACCATATTTTGAGTTTAGATATAGCTATCATTATTGGTTTGAAAATATTTGATTTTTGATGAAATTGGTAATGGATTTCGGATGTTTAATGAAGAGTTATCGAGAAGATTGGGTACAAAGGTTGTTATGGCGAGATAGGATTGTATGAGTTGAATTTGTTGAGCGGACAGACATTTAATTTGTTGGGTGGGTGGAATTTTTTTAGTTTTGAAATGGGTAGGAGATTTGGTGGGGAACGAAAATTTAGAGAGTGATTAGCAATAGTAGACAGTGGTGAAAGTTTCTGGCATGGAGAAGGACAAATTGTTGGTAATTGGAGGATTGCTTCATGAAAAGTTGTGAGGAAAATGGTGTACATGATTGGTTTTTGGACAACATAACATTCAACTATCAACATCCGATCATCGTCGCCCAGCAAACATCATTCGACCACTATCATCATCCTGCTATTACAACCTCAATATTCTCTATCACATTCATAAAATAGAAAAACTTGAATTGTCTAACATCTTCACGAGTTGTGTGGAAACTCAAACTCTTGTAACCTACTTGACAAAATGAATCATTTGAATTGGGTCGGGTCCACCGTGAAATTATTTCTATCTAAATTTTTCAAAAGCATCTCTTGTATTCTTCTCTCTTATCCATACGTGTGAAGAATATTTATGCAAAAACCAAGGCATAAAACTTAATTCATCATCATAAATTTTCCAACATATAACAACATACAAATAATTTTCTCATCAAAAACAGTCATCTACAACCATAAGCCCACTAGCCTTCATTATCTTCAATATCTTCCTATTTGTATGTCATTCATCTCCTCATATGTGATCAAAATCATTCAATCTTCTAAATGATTTTAGCACATCATAGTCCTGTTGCTTCCAATCAGATACAAGTCATCATCATCTTAGAACGCAAATTTATTATAAGTACAGTGATTCCTCAAAGTAATATTAAAGGAGCTGTCTTAATCAACAATATGATTATAATAATTATCTGATCCACATATTATAAATAGTTCATAGTACATATATGCGTGTTGACCTCATATGATTACTTGCATCCTTGTCATATATTGTAATAAGTACAAAATGATTATTATTTATGATTTTTAATTTCCAAATTTCTTATGCAAATTCTGGCTCATATCAATATTTCAAATATATATATGTAAATATCTAATTGTATTTCCATGCATGAGATTTATCATGATAGATGATTTAAGCAGACGGCTCACATCGCATTTCGTTTGAACCGCACGGTTCTTAAGAACTGACTCTAGTTCTTCGGTTCGACGGTGCGATCGGCGGGGCAAATGATTTTAAAGAGATTTGATTTGAAAATGGTTCTGAATAGAAATCAAACCGGCCGACTAACCAATTCACTGTTCAACTGAATGCCAAGCTTTTTATTGAAAAATGAAAATGGGTGAACCTCTTGCATCAAAACTGCTCCAATTCCATCATTGGAAGTGTCAGTTTCAATGCCAAATTCTCTTGTGAAATCCGGTAAAGCAAACACATGGGCAGATCCATGGTAGCTTGAAGTGTACTGAAAGCGTGTTATATTGGTGCATCCCACAAAAATGCATCTGCTTTCAGTAAATCACTCAATGGAGCTTCTATAGATGCATAACTTGCAATAAAATGCCGGTAATAGCCTGTCATGAGACTAGGAACCCTCGTAGAATCCTATTGTATTGATCAATCGGATTGTACTATTATCATGGACCTCAACTCAGTTTGTCATGCTCACTGGGGGGTCCAAGGGGTCCTCCCTCGCTTGGGTTCGGGTGCTTTGCATGAATTTTTTTATTTTTTTTTTATGTACAACGCCCAAGCGTTGTGTATCCAAACGTCCAACATTTTGTACCCGAGCGTCCTGACATTGTATAGTTCACTTGGATAAAAGATAGAGAGTAGAGCGTTACAACGCTCAAGATCTGGCATTGTGGCGCTGCCAGAAAGACTGGAGACATAGCATTGACTGTTACAAGACCGACTGAACATTTTTTCTTTCTCACTTTTCTTAAGAGTAGCGTCCCTTGGGGGGTAAGGAATTTACCAAACGGTAGGGATACGAGACATGTCTTTGACTGTAAATGCATTAGAGCTCAATACTCCACATAAATTTGTCAACTACCATCCTTTTTTTTTTTAATCAAAAGGATCGGACTAGAGAACAAAGAAACAGGTTCTACAGGGCATAATTGAACAAAATCAGTCCAAGTGATTGTAATCACCGCATACCAAGCACTAAGGTTTCGTTTGGGACGGCTTTCTTACTATTTCTTAAAACAGCTTTCTAGTACAAAAGTTAAAATTTTTGTATTCAAAAACTGCTTTAAGAAGCAGCAAAAAAGCCGTCCCAAACGAAACCTAAATCAGTGCCCTGAATGGCCAGCGCAAATAAGTTTAGACCGACTTTGTCCTTGAGAAACAACATGAACATTTGAGCATTTATTTTCGCAGATTTGCTTATCACTATTGTCCACAACAATCGTTAATGATTTGCCATTAAGGCAAATTCATACACACATCACATACATAAAAATCAAATTCAAAACCTCTTGATTAGTAATCAAAGCTCCCAACCAACAAATCAAGATGAACTGCATTTCAGGAAGGAATTGATTTTAGTACCGATTTGAGCTGATGCAAATCAGAGCCTGTTTATACAAAATCAGAGCACGGTAACATCAACCCCCTCTGACAGTAAAGACACAGAGAATGTAAATCAAATTACATTAGCAATACTTGTAATTTCCTTAAACATTCTTTCTAATGAGGAAATTGGTGAGGGAAAGCCAGACATCGCTGCTTATATATAGATACAGAGAATGCAAATCAAAATACAAATTCAGTTTAGCTCGAAAAGGGGTGGATATAAAAATAATTAAATATTTTATATTTTATTGCAAAAACTATAATTCATTTATACATATCACAGTACCATTTGGGATTTGAGAGCATGTTTGAAGAATTTACCTTTAATAACACAAGACTACGACTCTTCCTTGATAAAGAAGCTTTGTGGCAAAGAAAAATCCTCCTCATGATTAATGTTCTCCACTTCTTCTTCATCTGGTTTCTGTCAGAAATATATAAAGTGTACAAGAGTTTCAATATATGTACAAAAGCATCAATTCAAGCACCTAATATTACCTCTATACATTGAAACATTACAATTCACTACCCATAATCGACAACAATTTATATAAATAGCCCTCATTATCTTATAAAAAGCATAAAATTATCAAGAACGCCAGGAAGACTATCAACAAACTGAAGAAAGTTATTTACAAACACAATTATATGGATAATACTAAGTATAAGTGAAAAGCTGCTGCTGGCGTTCTAGAGTTTTATTGGGGTGAGTGTAAATACTTCTATGTGTTCACGAAGAAATTCTCATAGATTCAGCGTTCTCCTCAACCAACTTAAGATACTAAGCTAAGGTATAACTTCATGTATTCTAGAGACGCTATCTACATTCTATCTGAATTGATCTAAACACCGGCATTTCATAGAAGTTTTCCAATGTTTGATGATCAAAGCTTTGATGATTGTTTTGTACTTCTCGTTGTTCTCTTGCTTGAGCTTGGATGAAGATTAAACCTTAAAAAAAAAATCTTATGCAAAAACTAATCTGGAGCCTTCATCAACAGTGTCCTTTGGAAAAGCTGAACAAAAGCATGCAAACAACTATGAAATCACAGTAGCTCTTATTACTGACACACACTTTTTTTAAAAGAAATTAACTGACATAATAGCACAATTTGAAATACGATCTCTCAAAGGAGCATGCTTTTCAAAATATAACTTATATATATAGGTAGAGAGAGAAGGGCTGTCTTTTTAAAAGAAAGGAGCACATCTTCGATCATTCATCAACCTCCTTTAATAATTGAGATCTAAAGTAGATCATCCTCCATTTTCAAATCCCATTATCATATTTAAAAAGTTAAAACACACTTTAAATCTCAAACATTCAAAGGGAGAAGCGATAATTGGTATAGAAAATGTGAGAGTAAGTGCTCAAATCCTTTTAAAAAGAAAATATTAGAAAATCTCTCTCTATATATACACAGACATTATACTTGCATGCAAAATAAAATTGAAAATTCAGATACTACAAATTATCAATTAATTTAAAAACTTGATTCCTTTGATGAAAATTGGTAATATTAGAATTTAAAATTTTTGATAATAAAGTGAAAAAAATAATACAAGAACTTCTATGCACCGGGACAATGAGATGACTTCAACCATAATCAAATAGTTGCACTTGTACAACACTAAGAAAATCACACCTCTAATTAGTGCTCATAAAATTAAAATGGGAAAAAAAATTTATCCAAGTCAAATGTTACTCAACCTCAGACCACTAATAGACTCTTCATAACCTAGATTAATGGATAAGGTTGCCTAGCATCGATCTCAATTTAAAAAAATAATAAAAATTAAAAATAAAAAATAAAAAAAGCATCGATCTCAATTTAAATTTAAGTTAATACCATTGCTTATTTAAAATTTCCCAAAATAACTAAGCCGATTTCGGATGATGGTAGTCACTACAAAGGGAACCACGCCCACAAAGGATAATCAATAGTTAAATACAAAAGTTATAAATGTTTGCTTCATGTATCAAAATTACGAGAGAAGCAACTAGACATAAGTAGAGAATATTTTTGTTCAACTGTTCGACAGGACAAAGTGGAGGAAAAAAAGAAAAAAATTATCATCGCAATAAACATGAGGAAGTTCGATGACACTTAAAAAAGGCCTTTATTCTTGAGCATAAATACTCAGGCCTAGTTTGATTGGACGTTTTTGTGCTTATTCCTTTTTAAAATGGTCAACTTACTATTTGGTTTCTCAAACCACATTCCCAATAACACCATTTTTTTATTTTTCTGTTATTTTAAGAAAGTTTTTTATATATGCTTCTCCGTTAGACAACTCCTTTCTCTAAATTGATGTTTCTTAAAACTATCTTTTACAAAAGTACCTGATAACCAAACGAAGCCTCAACCTGGCAGCCAAGGCTAGTCAATGCCAAGGATCCAACAAATTTTCTCAATATGATAACATCAAGAATAACAGTTTAACAACTCCATCGCCCAGATATCTTAGAAACATTAAAAGCAAACAAAGAAGGTGAGAAAAGAAGCTGCAAAATTAGTATGGTGGCTGCATAATTTCACAAGATAAAACCGTAAAGCTTCCAAACATCAAGTAGCATAGTACATAGATTTTGAACCGTACCAGCATTTCCAAATTGAAGAAGCGATCCAACAACTGCAGAATCTCATCAGCTGTAAATTGCTTTTCAAAGCTGTAGCAGCATTATAATTGACTTGAAATTTGTTGTGCTCACGGAAAATGACTCTGTATATCATTTGGGAATAGAAAAAACAAACATCCCTTTCTACAAAGAAATATAATTATTAACTAACCTTTTCCGCATATATTCCATGAGCCCATAAAGAACAAAGTGGCGATGTAAACCTATGAAAAGCATTAAACTGGTTTTCTCAGCAATTGTATATAATGAAGAAAAGGCATCTTTCTGAGATCTACCCAGCACAATTAAAAATAGTGAATGATTTGGATTGCTTCTCGTAATTCCTGCTTCGAGCCCAAATATTTGCACATGTGATGCATGTTACCTTGGGATCTAGAGTTTCTAATATGGAACTGACAAGATATTAATCTAAAACTGATGGGGACATCAGTTGGAAAGTCTACCGTCGACGTGGCCGTAGATCTACGGCTACGATTTACCCGATGTATTTTTGATTTTAGTATGATCATTTTATTTTGATGTATTTTATTTCTGCACTTTTCCCTTTTTACCCTTGCTTGAGGGATTGAGTCTTGTAGCCCCTCGAGGGTATTTTAGTCTTTTATGTTGTGTCTTTGTAGAGTGGAGATAGCTGGAGATGGGATTCTCTATAAGATTCTATAAGGTGTTGAACATTACAAATATAAACAAGAGGGCACTTGGCCACAACTTTCAGTGCATCTACGCCATGCATTTGCACACTCTTCAATGCACTTACATGATGTAGCTACATAACTTTTGGTGCATTCATGCGGCAAATTCCCACGAACTTCAATGCATTCATACAATAGTTGCACGAATTTTGAAGCATTACATTTGAATTGTAAATCATCTCATAAACTTTGTGCAAGTCATAATGTATTCCGATTTTCGTTATTCTCATGAAAATCTTGCCATTAGGAAGTTTACACGCTTCCCTTTTTAGTTTTAATGACTGTGTTCTGTCCGATTGTGAAAATAATGTACGGATCTAGTGGCTAAGAAGGTAAATTAAGGACAAGTTGGAATGATGGCATATGTTTCACACCATCCCTTTTTATCATTTTAAAATGATTATTTTTAATGGCATGGATCCCACGGGAGTTCACCTCTCCATCTATAAATATGGGAGAGAGGCTAGTTCATTTCACACATTTTGGGTTCACATGAGTCCATTACTATGGGTTCCTGAGGATTCAGGCAACGTCACAGTGAGATTCTATTCATGTTCTTCACAAACCTTCAAGTCTTTCATAGTCCCTTCTAAGTCAAGTGTTTACAATTTATGGTTTAAAATTTTGTTCCTCTTAAAAATATTTTCATTACATTTTTATTATTTAACATATATTTGTTGTTTTATTTAACAGCATTTTGTTTATTTTAAGGCCCATGTGTTTTATATTTTTAGATTCCGTTTAATCCAATTCCGCAACCTCCTAGTGTCTTCCCAATGTAGGGAGAATGTACGGTGAGTCTGAATCTACCCACCATGCCAAAAAAAAGACAAGCATAGTTGGTGGTTGAAACTTTCATAATCCATTGCGCTAAGAAAGGCGTGTATAAAGTATCTACACAAGAGAATTTTGCAACAATATATAAACTTTCTTATCATACTAAGAAAAACGTGCACATGACTTACCCACTACATTGTGAGTGTTGCATTTAAAAAATAATTTTAAATTAGATTTTGGCAGTAATGATAGTAATAATTTTCAAAGAAATTAAAAAAAAAAACTTTATTCTAATTGTGTATTGATGCACCTCACCAACTTTCATCCTTCATGCATGTCGAATTTCCATTCTCATTTTTCACGTGTGGGTGAATTTTTTGTCAATCTTTTGTGCAGCAACCTAGGTAATATGGGTGTTCTTTCTTGGTAATTCTGAAGTTCAAGATATGCCAGCACAATTCATTTTGCAAACGAACAACGTTCAAGCAATTTTGCATAACATTGCACACTAAGTGTGTTGCTTTCACTTGCGCTCACTCGAATTGAACAGGAGAGATCAGTTCTTGGTGCTTTTGTTGATCTAAATGCAATGGAGTGGTCCATTTTACAAACGAATGAATGTTTGAGTAATTTTGCACAACATCATATTCATAGTTCACCACTTTCATCATGATTAGTCTGTTTAATTTCAGCATTCATATCGAGTTCAAGAAAACATGCATATGCACACTCAAAGCATTAACTCAAAATAGTCATAACAAACATAGTGATGTAGAACGGGTAGGAGGATTGAATCGTATGGGTCTTGAAGAGCAAATCGTCCCAAAAATCTGCAACAATTCCTTTCAGGAAGTCTGAAATATCTCAGATTTTCCTCTCAGAAATCCGAGAGAAAATCTAGCTCTCGGTGTGGGGAAGAAAGAACTAGCAGGAGCAAATTTATGGGCGTAAAGTAGAAGAGAAATAAATGTGGAGAGAAGGTGTGAGAGGGAAAGGGAGAGGCGGATGACAGGAAAGAATAACTCCTAAATACCCTTTTCAAAATTCTGAAAACAAATTCAAATTTTGGAACCAAAATCTGAGAGAAATCTCAGGATTCTAGGCTTAGGAGCAAGGGGAATTGGAAGGATAATTCAAGCTTCATTCCAGCAAGATATTGAAGTGGGAGAGAGGGAATTTGAGAGGGAGAGGTGGTCGGGTAAGAGAGAAAACCAGGAAACCGGGATTTAATTCCAGAAATAACAGAAACAGGATTTGGAAAGGAATTAAATCGGTAGTGGGGCCTTGAGATTTTCAGCCAAGGAGAATCTCAGCTTTTGAAAATATTTCCAAAGAATTGCTTTGGCTGTTAGGAAAGATTTCCTAATGTAATTCCAGAGATTTGGAAATTAATTAGAGGCGTTGGACGTGAGGAACAAAACTGTTACAGGAATTGAAATTGTTTCCAAAAGGATGGACTTAGAGTTAGGAAACAATTAATTGAAATAGATGGGCTATTGGAGGGAATTGATTTGAACTTAAAATTTCAAATCAAGGGAGTTAAGGCATTGAGTGGGGGAATTAATGAGGGGGAGCCAAGGAGGGGCCGGCGGCTTCTAGAGAGAGGGGAAGGGGTTATTTCAAAACCTGAAATTAATTTCAGGTTTTGAATGAAATTGGGGGGAACTTAATTTGAAATTTGATTTCAAATTAAGAGGCCATTAATGTTTTAATTGGGGAATTAATGGGAGGAAAGCCCCATGGTGGCCGGCGGCATGTAGAGAGAGAGGGAGGGGATTTGGGCAAGGTTTGAGGAGAGTGTAATGTGTTTCCTAATCCGCTCAAGCTAATTAATGACGAAAAATTTCAAATCCGTTTCAATTCAAATTTGACAATTGAAACCTCATTGAAACTTTCCTAATTTGGCACCAAGCAAATTTGGAAACTTCAACTCATCAAATTTTCAAATTTCAAACTTGAAAATACGTGAGGTGGCGGCAAAGGAGTCGGCGATTAACGGAGAGGTGGGATGGTGGATGAAGGGGGGGCCGGCGGCTAGAGGGAGGGCCGGCGGGATGATGGAGAGGGTTGGGTTTTGTGATTGGGATGAGGGTGAGAATGACGGCGAGGAACAATAAGGAGTAACAATAAAAACAAAAACGAAAGATATAATCAAATGATAGAAGATAAAAAAAACCGCGAGCCTTGTACTCTTCTGAAGGCTGACAGGTGATGTTTTGCCCTTCTCCAAGGGACTTCAAGTCACGAGCTCGGACCCATCATGCGGCTGGTGAAAACACCGATTTCTATCGTCCGATTTCTCCCATAGAAATCTCACTATCGTCCTCTTCACAAGAACACAAGTGTGGAACACAATTTTTTTTCAATAATTCATCCCTATTACAATAGCTTAAGGCCCTATATATAGGCTACAACAAAAGAAAACTCAAAATACAAAATTGCCCCTTGGGCCACAACACCAACCTAGGGGTAAAACCGGAAATACATCAAATAAGAACTAAAATTCAGAAAAATAACTCATCATTGAATATTTAAATTATAGCCGTCGATTTGCGACGCCTCCTGTGATAGATGCGCCAAATCTTCGTACCGATGTCCGCATCACATAGTTATGCAAGCATTGGATGTCTATTATAATTGAAAACCTTATGACAAAACAATTTATATAGTTCTTTACAATTTTCAATTGCAAATGCTTTGGTGAAGCATTCCTACCTTGACAAGTTTGTCGAGTTTGTGAAATTCAAGAATGCAACAAGAACAACATCAAGCATTTATCATACTACATGGAGTCGACTGCATATATCCTCTTTCTCCATTCTATCTTATTAAGAGTTAAATTCTCATTTAAATCTAATAAAGAAATGTCATTTCAAATATTTTCTAACTCAGTCTTTTAGTACTACCTCTATCTTTCTTAACATAGGTCAGATTTAATATATCTACACTCCTAACCAGATCAACGGAAGGCTGGCATTTTATGTGATCAAACCTTCTAAGGCGACTCTCTCTAGTCTTATTTGTCACTGGAGCTACTCCAACTTTTTCATATACATACTCGTTTCGCATTATGTCTCTAAAAGCAAACCCACTCATCCACTTGATAATCCTCATCTCCGGTACATTTAACTTAATTTTACAATTCTATTTTAATGGCCAACATTCTACACCATAAAGCATCGCAAGTCTCACAACCATCTTATAGAAATTTCCCTTAAATCTGAGGGGTACTTTTCTCATACAACAACCAGATGCATTCCGCCACTTCAACCATCCAACTTGAATTCTATAATCTCCCCTTCTATTTCACCATCACTTCGAACAATAGACCCGAGATATCTAAAATGTATACTCTTTTTAATAACTTGATTTCCCATAGTCACAATCCCTCAATTAGATCAATTACTACTTAAATTACACTCGATGTATTCAATTTTAGACCTACTCAAATGAAAAACTTAAGAATCTAAGGTCGACCTCCATAATTCAAGCTTTCATTCAACCCCCTCTCTAGTCTTATCAACAAGAAGAATATCATCAGCAAAAAGCATACGTCAAGGTACATCCTTTTGCAAATGTCTAGTAATAACATCAATGAATAAAGAAAAAAGATAATGGCTTAGAGATGATCTTTGATGTAATCCAACTACAACAACATCAAGCCTTTATCCCACTACATGGGGTTGGCTACATGAATCCTTTTTCTCCATTATGTCTGATTAAGAGTCAAATTCTCGTTTATATCTAATAAAAAAAGGTCATTCCTAATATTTTCTAACCAAGTCTTTTTAGGTCAACCCCTATCTTTCTTAACAAAGGTTAAATCTGATACATCTACTCTCCTAACCAGGCATCGGAAGGCAGCCGCTTTATGTGACCAAGCCATCTAAGACAACTCTCTCTAATCTTATCTGCCACAGAGATACTCCAACCTTTTCACTTATATGCATATTTCGTATCCTGTCTCTAAGAGTAAAGTCACTCATCCACCTGAGCATTCTCATCTCTGCAACACTTAACTTAATATTATGCTTCTATTTTAATGGTCAACATTATGCGCCATAAAACATTGCAGGTTTAAACACCATCTTATAGAATTTTCCCTTAAGTTTGAGTAGTACTTGGTCAAACCACCTTGTGTTTGAACACAAGAAGCAAGTCCTGCACACATTTCCTTAATGAATGGAAATGCGAAAAACAATATTATGTTACTATCAGTGTATTTTCTATTCATTTTTTAATTTGCCTTTAGCTTAATGACGATCCCAGACCCTCCTCATTGGAACCAAGTGAGTTTTTCGCCACTCGGCGTCGTCGAGTTAAAACTGATTCTCGCTTCCCTCCTAAGTGCATCTCCAACCGAAATCTCATTTTTTCACTCCAAAATGCAGTGCAAACTAAAAAATGCTTGATTCATTTACAATCGAACTCCATTTTATACACCTTCTACGAAGTAACCGTCATTTCTTTTTCACGCTTTCTTCGACAAATCCGATTGAGACAAAAAACGGAATTTGCACGCAATATATCACTGCACTTTCATACCAACAATACAAATAAACGAAAATTTGACGTTTCGGCCTAGGAGCAGACGAACGTCATAACATATTTGACGTTCGGTTGGAGATGCTTTAAGATGTCGTAGTCCAAATTCCAGGAACTTCTTCTCGAGTTTAGCTTTATTTTTATAAAAAGTTTCAGTTATTAATCCTGAATTGAATTATGAAATTTTCCTTAGTTAACATTTAAGTTAAGATCCATGCTGATCTAGTGAATTTGTTTGAAGACTTAGCAAATATAATTTTAAATTAATCATTTCTATATCACATTAATTTCATTTAACACCTAAATTTAGTGATAAAGTTATTAGATGATAAATAATAATATAATATATATATATATATATATATTTATTATATATATTATAATATATATATAATATTTATTAATATATATAATATATAATTATATATATAATATATATAATATATACTTCTTTTAGAAGACAAATAGTTTAATGTGAAAAAAATATTTAAAATTGATAATTACTTTTTAAATAAGACAAAATTTAACTTTAATATTTCCATTAATATCATCATTCATCAAATCTCGTGTTAATCAGAAAGTGGGCTTTTAACTATAAATATATTCATTACCATTCATATGAATTTTTAAAATATATATATAGCAATTTTATTTTTGCCAGACAGATCGTTTAAAATACTCAAAAAAAAAATCATAATTATTGCATTCATTTCGTTCCTCTCCTTAACAAACC